TATAATGCAATTATTTAAGGGGAAATGAAATAAATTGAGAAAACTAATAACTATTAATTAGTAAATAATATTTTAAGAAGCTTATTCAACCCAATTTTAATTTTTAAATTTCTAATTACGACAGGAAATGCTTTTGGCTCAAATATGGTTTCGGCTCTTTATTATATTGATGACGCATATTAAATAAACAATAAAACAAATATGCCATGTAATTTATCTGATACAAAATACCATTTTAAAATAAATTATATCTAAGATACATTTATAAATTATGTCTTACGTTAACACTAAGTTTGGCTTAATATGATTTGAATCTAACTTTTCTCAACTAACTAAAATTTTCGACTCTTGCCTTCTGTTTGTTTCACTCACTCCCCCTCCCAAAACAAAAACTTTTGTCCGCTCGCACAGCTTTATTTTTAGAGTCACGTTGCGATTTGTTTTCGACAAACAGCGGAGATAGCTTTTCGTAAAAGGTCTTGAATAATTAGCGGCGCTGCAAAAACTCGTCTCTCTGCTCAAACTTACCTATAAACGGCGGGCAAACTTTGCTAATTAAAGTTTATTATTTTTCATGCGCGCAGCCGATTTGGTCCCGTCGTGGCACGGCCAGGTCTAATAGGATTAGGAGTGAGAGCAGTTTGCCGGGTGTTAACCAACAAACTAACTAAGTAACTAACTGCCGGAGCGTAGCAGGGCTTTCGCCGAACATAAGTAAACACACACGTGCACGCTCAGGATTCGCAGCAAACGAGAGCGACCAACGTTAAATTTCGCAGCCGCCGCGGCTCATTTCAAAAGTCGAGGATTTGCTCCTCATGTGCACGCAAATTGACTTCTTCGGTGGCGAGTGCTCCCAGCTCAAAAGGAAAAAGCAATTATTGAGGTTCATTACATTATAGACAAATTTTTTTAAATTTTTGCTCAGAAATCTAGATTTCATTCTAATGCGACTTTTATTTTATTAGGTTCCGTGCGCATAATAAATATATGTAATTAGTAAATTAAATAATTAAATTAATATATTAATTGTATAAAATAAAATATAATTTAATTTTTATATATTTATTAAAAATGCCCTTTTTCTACCTTTTGATTGTCCATATTGTTCCAAAAAAGAATTTTTCAGTTTTTAAAATAATATCAGCAACATCTCCATTTTCTACGAGTATTATTAAATTGCTAAGTCATCCTGGTATGATTGAGTTTCGACACAAAGAAGCACTCAGCCTCAAGAGAGCCTCAACTACTGTTGTCGTTTTTGCTGTTGTTTTCTTATGTGTTGCCGGTTGCTGAACATCCATTCACCCTTTCAACAGCACCTTGCTCTCTGCTGTTCTTGGCTGTCGACGAGTTGATAATTAGCGAGAGGCGCAGCAACACCAGGCCCTTTTTCACAACGTCAAGAGGAGAGGCGCCTCAAAAGGCGCTTTCCTCGATGTAGCGTTTTAATTGATTCAATCCTCATCACATGCAAAAATCGGCTAGAGTCAAAATTTCAAAATTTGATTAGATTTTTTTCTTTTAAATTTTGAATTTTAATATTCTTGGCTTCAAAGTGCCTATGGTGTTTGAATTTTTCTGTTTACGCTCCCTCGGCACTTTTATTAAAAATCGCGTTGTTTACACTGCAGCGAGCGCGTCCTGAGCATAAAGCAAATTTACGTAGCGGGCCTTCCAAAAGTAATTAATTCTGAAGACGAGAATGTCGTAAACGAGCAGCGCTCCCTTTTTTATGGGCAGGGCAAAACAAATAATGTGAAATTAAATTTTTTATTGAAAGGGGTGGTTACGCTTAACTTAAAAGAGGCATAAATTTTTATCAAACTTTGCAAAAGTCCTAACAAATTTTGATCTTCTTATTATTTCGACTGAAAATTTGAGTTTGATGCACAAAATATTTATCGAAAGTAAAATTTCTGTAAAATATATTAAAAAAATGGTATGGAAAATTAGATAAATTTCTAATTTTAACATTAGATTCAAATTATAATATCGTTTTCTAAATTCAACTGTGCAACCTTAGAAGGGGATGTTGCTGGAACTCGTCAACTACCTGTCGGTCTACTCAATTAGCCCATGATTGCCTGCCAATATGCAGCGCGTCCGTCCGAGTGGGAAGCGCGTCTTTGTACTCAGAGAGCGTCGAATGCCAAAGTAAACAAATTCGGTGCTCCCAGCACTTTGATGTGGCGCTGCGAGAAGACAAAGCGAGAGAGTCAACAAAGGGGCGCCCCAATTACCGACCAATTAACTCGCACGAATCAAGTTATACTTGCCCGCAATATCGATTATCTGGTTCTTGCCATGGAAACAAATCGGCATTCGATAGCCGGCAAAATATGTTTTCTCCACGTTCCGGGACTGCAAGGCAGCTTTTGAAGTTTCAAAGACAAAGGGAAATTTCAACAGATATAGAAACTTTTTTCCAGGCAGAGGAAAATTGTTTTGGCCGTGGCACGCATAAAGAGGGAGAGAGAAAGCGAGTTTGCAATTCTATTCGCAGAGAGAAGGAGCAAAAGCAGAAGAAAGAACAAAAACATTTTTTCTCGGGCCGCTGCTTCGTCTCTGAAAAGCGGCTCTCGTGGGTGGATGAAATGAAAAGAGAGAACCCAACAGAGGAACATGAAAATGTACCGTGTATGAGCAAACACGGAGCGCTTTTTTATGAAAATACGACGAGAGTGGTCTCGAGTGCTGTTTTTAGACCTTAGATGATCAATTCAAGTTTCCGCTTGCGATGAAGCAGGACGTGAGGATTTGCAGAAAAATATGCGAACGAATAAAATATACTGAGGGATTTTCCGTTAAAAAAAAGAGAAGAGGTTGTTCAAAAACTTGGCCCTAAATAATTCGTTTTTAGCTCTCATACCTAACTCATATTTTGAGTACAAAGAAGGAAACTTTTTTAATTCTTCCAACGACTCTTGATATTTTACTTTTCATTTCTCATCTGAATTAATATAGGCAGCGATAAAAGTTATCACAAAATCTATTTCTTCATTTGAGATGCTTCTTTGATATAAATAATATTTTAAATTGAAAAGATACAACTTAATTAAAAAATTCAAGCAAGCATCACTGTAGCCTTTTCTTATTCTTTTGCAATTCAATGCTGAAAGATGTTGAAAAAGACCAAGGTTTTCATAATTTTGGGTGGGTGATTAAAGGTTTCAAATTTTGCTGCACATTTTTTAGATAAAATTGTTCCATTAATTTTATTTACTAATATCTTTTCAAAAAGTTTAGTTGGAAATAAGTTTGTAATAAAAGAGAGATATTTATTTATCATTGATGCTTTGAGGCGCTACAGAAGATTTTGTTATTTTTTTTATTTATACAACAATTGTTTTCTTTTTATTCTTCTTCTCAGAAATAAAAAGAGCAAAATTCTAGCAAACACTCCTCTCTATACAACTCGAGGAGATGTTCTGCAACGAAGATCCCTTGGTATTTCGCAGCGGTATTTTCTAGCACCAGCCACGCTCAAGCAAACTTCGATCCAGCGCTGCAGCTGCTTTTGTTTTCGTTGTGCATTAAACTCTGCGTCTTTTCCGCTTTGTGTTGTTGCTGTTGTTGTTGTCGGCTGCTGCATTTTCCCTTTTCCGCTTTGAAGCTCACCGCGCGGTTAATATGCGTTTCCAGCACAGCAAAGGCATTTATCTCGCAAAGCCAGCGGATACACGCAGCAAATGATAAGACTGCTAAACGCATTTTAATTAGTTTTTAACAACTTCCGGGCCGCGTAAAACTTTAATTTAATTCCACGCATGCGAGAGAAATCGGAAAATTAGTTTCCTCTTCCGAAAAGCAACCCGTTTCCTCGTATCGCGGCAGCTTTGTTTCGGCTATTTTACCTGTTGCCGAAGTCCCGCGTCTGATTAAAAGTTTCACCAGCCAAAAGTTGCTGCTGTCACGAACAGAGAGAGTGAGTTTTCCATTATTTAAAACTGTACGTCTGAGAGTTTAGTGAAAACAAATCTAAAATTTAATTATAACGAGTAGAGACTAAGCTATGGAATTGGAAAACTTTTTGCAGCATGTATTGCCTTCAACCTAGTTGGAGGAGAAAAATTGATTTATTTTGAGAAAAAAACTGGTAAATTATAAAAAATAATAATCCACCTCTTAAGCTTAAATTTTTATTGAAAAAGTGAAACATGAAAAGTTATTATACAAAATGCATTGGACTTCTTTTTAACAGAGTAAATTTTCCCAATTCTTTGGAAATATAATAAAATTTATAAATGATTAGCTTTTCGGTATTAAATTAATGACGGCATTGATTTTCGAGCAGACAAGTTCTATATTCTTTTTCAAAACAATCAAATTAAAATGATTTTCTTCAAATTTCTAGTAACATTATTTGCATGGATTTTTGTCAAACAATGAAAATAATAGAATAAATATAAAAATTAAAATACATTAAAATCTCACTTAAAAGTATGAAATTAGTCCAAAATCTTCTTTCTTTAGGACTCATGTCCTTAAAAGTCTCGTTCATTTTTTTATTTTTAAATCAATTTTTGACCAGGATGAATCTTGGAGCAAATTAAATTCTTCATTCTTTGTAATAAAAAAATTAGAAATCTTATTTTTCATTCCATTTACTTTGGTAAATATTTAATGGTCTCAAATTTTAGCGTTCTGGCAAAGAAATGAAAATTAAATTTTTCGGTCAAACGTCATCCAATGCTTATTGAGTAATTGCTCTTTTTTGCTATAAATACTTGTTTTTTGAACCAGAAAAAGTGGATTATTTTCCTTTTGGTAGAATTCATTTCGCGCTCTTGTCATTTTTTCTCGACGCCTATTTTGCACCGAAAACACGTGCTCTCACTCTGAACTGCTCGTTGCAGTAAAACCACTCCTTGCCCGCAATAATGAAACAGCAGAAAAGCTGCTCTTTTCCATTTTGGTTCTTTGTGCGCCGCTGGCCGCACGTGCCGGCTGACGACGGGGCCATTCGCAGCACCGGCGCCTTCTTTTTTCCTTTATATGACGGACCCAGCCGACAGCTAGAGATGAAAAAAGCTAGGCGTCTTTTTATGCTGCCTCGATGACCTCTCGGAAGAAGTATTTTTTACGACGGCGAAGCTGCAAAATGAGGTGGGTTTGATGAACGTCCGTTTTTGCACATGGCACCAAATTAATTAATTTGGCTCGGAGCGTGCGAATATAATCCGCCGCGAGTTTAATTCAATTTTCGCTCGATTAGCAAATGAACTAATGTGCAGCGCGATGGAACGCGGATTAAACAAAAGCCTCACGTCATTATTTATTTGACAATTCATGTAAATACGCACGTGTTTGTTTTGCGAGCGATTTATATTTTACAGCGCAAAATTTCCAATGACGTGATATTGAATTAGCAAAACTCGGTTAAAATTCCGCAACAATGGTTTTAAATGCAAATAAAGGCGGAAAATTAAATAAGCAAACGTTTTCTGAATAGATTGATATTTTTTAATTTCTTGTCAGTTTGAAATTTGAAAAATTCAAAATTTTGTCTGTAAAATCCCCTTTAAAGCAGGTGATTTGCAATTCGCGGCTGATCCGAATTGATCCTAAGTGCTGCCCTGAATTTTCCACGCATCTATACCCACTCGGGGACGCTTTTAGGAGGGATTTTGAGGGTTCATCTGCTGTGTGCTGTGCGAAAAGGGGCTTGGAGGGCTGCTTATTGTTGGTTGATGCCAAACGAAAAACCGCACACTCCCGCTCCGGTCGCCAGCCGTATCTCTTTTGCGAAATCGCTGTGAGCCCCGGGGCGATTTATGGAACGGATCGCATATGCGACGCACCTTTGCCTCAATTTGCAGCCCTCGGGCTTGCATTTTCCTCCAAGGATATAAAGACGAGAGAGAAAAATGAGTGTGGGCTTCTTTCTTTATGCAGCTGGGCAATAAAAGAGGAGAGCGGCGAAATGACCCTCCTGCCCGTATTTTTCCTGCGCCGGAATATTATGGTTAATACGGACGGAGCGCCGAGCAACAGGGAAGATTTGGTTTATTTTTCCACTCGTGCCCCCTGAGGGGAAATAACAACGGACGAGGTAGCAAAAAGAAAAATATTACTTAATTTTCCTTCATTTTTCGCAGAGGGTAAAATCTCTTCCTTGATTTTGAACGGTTCTTATCCGAGATCGCATTTTATGTAATTAAAAATCCTTTATCAAATGATAAATTTTTTATCCATGATACTTCGGTCCAATATCATTTTCATTTGACTATAATTTTTGCATACATTAAGTTTACGAGAGGAGTGAGAGTATTTTTTAATAGTTGAATTTGCACATAAAAGTGTCAAATTTATCATGATTTATAAAACTTTTGTCACTTTAGTTTCATTTTTATAATGTCTAAGATATGATTTATTATAAGAAAATTGCTTCAAAAATTAAATTTTGATGTAACTTGAGAAAAAAGCGTTGCTTTTTAATAAAATCTGCATGTCTATTTTATTTAATTCAATTAGTTTTGCATGGAAAATTTGCAAAAATTTCATAATATTCAAAATTAATAAAGAAAACCTTTAAACACAGAGGCATTTTGCTTTGATAGTGCCGAAACCCAGCGTGCCGGAATTAATTTTGGCAGCATAGCCCTTATCAAAACCGAGCGCGCCGAACTTGTGCCTCGTCGCATTATTCAGGCCCGAATGGGCTAATAAGGAAGCGAAATTGCTTCCTCGTCCCGCGTGTGTTTTGCCGGTAATGTTTGCTCGCTGGCTGACCTGCTTCTCGTTGGGAGGGTAGGGGACGTAGTTAGTTGTTGCTGCAAACAAACACAAGAGTGAGCGTGCGGTCTGCTCTCGAATGCGGACTTCAAGGAAGACTCGTATCTTGGCCGAATGGTCATTCACCTGGAGGGTTCTCTGATGCCAAATTGCCCGGCGCAAACACACTCTTGAGCGGAAATCGAACGAATCCAACCGAGATCCCTTTGCTTGACAAGAAGTAGAAGGGACATCGATTGGAAATTTAGAATCTTGGGCACGATTTTATTGGAATAAATTGTAGGCAATTTTGAAAAATATAAAGAAATCATTATTTGCAAGCTTTTATATAATATTAACTTTTAATTGGCAATTTTTAATTAATTATTTGTAGCTTTTTTTATTTCTTAACAAACGAAAAATTAGTAGAATGTTGTTGAAAATGTACAAACTAGAGAGGGAAACAGGGACCGGGAATACAAAATTTCCCATCCCGTCCCGGTGGAAATTTTTGTATCGGGACGGAACAAAATAAATTGGGTCAGGGAATATACAAACAAAAAACAAAGGAAACCTTTTAGGCCAAAATTGTAGTTGAAAAAGTCACAGGTAAATTCGTCTTAAATATCTACAGAAGTATTTTATAGATAGTTATTAATTTCTTATAGTTTTTTCAATTAAAGAATACTTTTGTTCTAAAATTTAAAACGGCACTGCAGTTTTCAAGTAGGTGAGGCAAAATTAAAATTTCTTAAAAAGAAAATAGTTTCTAATTAGATATTTTTTGCAAATAATATTGTAAAACAATTTCAAAAGTAAAAATTAAAATTTTCAAAGGAGTAGAAAAAAATTCAAAACTTCTCGTGGAACAATAATGCTAGTAAAACGTATTAAATTTCTTTTTTTTTTGGTCACGATTTGTAAAAAATAAATGGCAAACTATATTTTAATTTATTAAAAGGTCGTTTTATTTATTGATGACAAATTGCAAAATATCAGCTTCTTCGATATTTATATAAACTCATCATTTTGCCAATCTTCAATCTTGAGCATTCAAGACCCCATATATATATGAATAACTTTATTTCGGTAGGTTATAACCAAATGCTATTTCCGTTTTTTAGCTCCCAATTCCATTTTGGCGGCGTCGGCGGTATAAATGTCAAGATTCGATTCGCCCGGTCGGGTATTGAGTTGATTTGCGTCGGGCAAAAGCACTCATGCCGGCACAAAGTCGTCCCTCGCACAGTCTGTCAACAGCAAACCGCAACTCGATCGTTCGCAATTCCAACTCGAGTGGTCGCAAATATTTATGTTTTCGTCTTTCTAGAGGAACGATTTCAAATAAATTGAGCTGAAGGCAGGCAAATTTCAGTGCTTAACGCGAGAGTGGCTTAGCGCGGAGATTATTTTGATAATTAGAGGCCGACTCGTCGCTAATGGCCCGTCTTATCAGAGGACCAAAGCTCGTAAATCAACCCTTGCGGGGAGAGAAAGTGAGGGCGAGCGGCGCACAGGCACTTTAACCGAGGGTTATGCGGAATTTTTGCGCCAAAACACGCACCGGTGCGGGGATGATTCGCGACAATTTAGTACAGAGAAGGCAGTCAACAAGCGGCTTAATGCGAGTTATTTAAAGTTTCTGTGAACAATGCGACTCTCTCTTACAATTAGGCGGATTTGAGCGCTTCTTGTAATAGTCCTTGAATTTGCAAGATATAATTATTGACCTTAGAGGGCCAGCCATTTAATCCTGAATAATCCCAGGTTAGTTTGGCTAGCGGTCTATAAGTTTTCATTTCACTATTTTCTTTTGAAAAATAGGATTTAATATTCTGGTTTGAGTAAAGTCCTTATTTGGCTGATTTAAGTGCTTTTAGTAATAGTCGTAGAATTTTCAAGATATTATTATTGACCTTAGAGGGCCAGCCATTTAATCCTGAATAGTCCCAGGTTAGTTTGGCTGGCGGTCAAAAAGTTTTAATTTTGCTATTTTCTTTTGAAAAATAGGATTAAATATTTCGGTTTCCTAACAGTCCTTATTAAGCCGATTTAAGCGCTTTTTGTAATAGTCGTAGAATTTGCAAGATATAATTATTGACCTTAGAGGGCCAGCCATTTAATCCTGAATAGTCCCAGGATAGTTTGGCTGGCGGTCAAAAAGTTTTCATTTTGCTATTTTCTGTTGACAAGTAGGATTAAATATTCTGGTTTCCTAACAGTCCTTATTAAGCCGATTTAAGCGCTTTTTGTAATAGTCGTAGAATTTGCAAGATATAATTATTGACCTTAGAGGGCCAGCCATTTAATCCTGAATAGTCCCAGGTTAGTTTGGCTGGCGGTCAAAAAGTTTTCATTTTGCTATTTTCTGTTGACAAGTAGGATTAAATATTCTGGTTTCCTAACAGTCCTTATTAAGCCGATTTAAGCGCTTTTTGTAATAGTCGTAGAATTTGCAAGATATAATTATTGACCTTAGAGGGCCAGCCATTTAATCCTGAATAGTCCCAGGTTAGTTTGGCTGGCGGTCAAAAAGTTTTAATTTTCCTATTTTCTTTTGAAAAATAGGATTAAATATTTCGGTTTGAGTACAGTCCTTATTTGGCCGATTTAAGTGCTTTTAGTAATAGTCGTAGAATTTGCAAGATATTATTATTGACCTTAGAGGGCCAGCCATTTAATCCTGAATAGTCCCAGGATAGTTTGGCTGGCGGTCAAAAAGTTTTCATTTTGCTATTTTCTGTTGAAAAGTAGGATTAAATATTCTGGTTTGAGTACAGTCCTTATTTGGCGATTTAAGTGCTTTTTGTAATAGTCGTAGAATTTGCAAGATATTATTATTGACCTTAGAGGCCCAGCCATTTAATCCTGAATAGTCCCAGGTTAGTTTGGCTGGCGGTCAAAATGTTTAAATTTTGCTATTTTCTTTTGAAAAATAGGATTAAATATTTCGGTTTGAGTACAGTCCTTATTTGGCCGATTTAAGTGCTTTTAGTAATATTCGTATATTTTGCAAGATATTATTATTGACCTTAGAGGGCCAGCCATTTAATCCTGAATAGTCCCAGGTTAGTTTGGCTGGCGGTCAAAAAGTTTTAATTTTCCTATTTTCTTTTGAAAAATAGGATTAAATATTTCGGTTTGAGTACAGTCCTTATTTGGCCGATTTAAGTGCTTTTTGTAATAGTCGTAGAATTTGCAAGATATTATTATTGACCTTAGAGGGCCAGCCATTTAATCCTGAATAGTCCCAGGTTAGTTTGGCTGGCGGTCAAAAAGTTTTCATTTTGCTATTTTCTGTTGAAAAGTAGGATTAAATATTCTGGTTTCCTAACAGTCCTTATTAAGCCGATTTAAGCGCTTTTTGTAATAGTCGTAGAATTTGCAAGATATTATTATTGACCTTAGAGGGCCAGCCATTTAATCCTGAATAATCCCAGGTTAGTTTGGCTGGCGGTCTATAAGTTTTCATTTCACTATTTTCTTTTGAAAAATAGGATATAATATTCTGGTTTGAGTACAGTCCTTATTTGGCCGATTTAAGTGCTTTTAGTAATAGTCGTAGAATTTGCAAGATATTTTTATTGACCTTAGAGGGCCAGCCATTTAATCCTGAATAGTCCCAGGTTAGTTTGGCTGGCGGTCAAAAAGTTTTAATTTTGCTATTTTCTTTTGAAAAATAGGATTAAATATTTCGGTTTGAGTACAGTCCTTATTTGGCCGATTTAAATGCTTTTAGTAATAGTCGTAGAATTTGCAAGATATTATTATTGACCTTAGAGGGCCAGCCATTTAATCCTGAATAGTCCCAGGTTAGTTTGGCTGGCGGTCAAAAAGTTTTCATTTTGCTATTTTCTGTTGAAAAGTAGGATTAAATATTCTGGTTTCCTAACAGTCCTTATTAAGGCGATTTAAGCGCTTTTTGTAATAGTCGTAGAATTTGCAAGATATTATTATTGACCTTAGAGGGCCAGCCATTTAATCCTGAATAGTCCCAGGTTAGTTTGGCTGGCGGTCTATAAGTTATCATTTCACTATTTTCTTTTGAAATATAGGATTTAATATTCTGGTTTGAGTACAGTCCTTATTTGGCCGATTTAAGTACTTTCAGATTCAGATTCAGATTCAGATAATATTTATTCCGTATAGATCAACATATGTACAGAAATAATCTTTGGAATAGGTCACTGTAATACAGCTATATCTCAATATAACTATAATACAGCTTACTAAATTTAAAATACATTTAAAATACAGTTCACACAATTTTACACAAAAAATATTCATGCACGTCATAGAACATTTTGTCGTAGAATATTAATTCCAATTCCTTCTTAAACACTTGATAACTATCAATGCTTTTGATTCTATCGGGAAGATGATTGAAAATTCTAGGGATCATGATGTGAGGGGACTGCGCAGTCAGCAACAGTCTGTTTGGTTTGACAAATAAGTCTTGCTCCGCTATAGGTTTATTTCGAGTACTGCGATTCTGGTGCACCTTGCTTTCAGAATTTTTGAGGAACAATTCAGGATACTTTTTGTAAAATTTAACACATTCAAAGGCGTACACAGAGAAAGCTGGCAGGATCTGAAATTCTTCAAAAAGTGGTCGGCAAGACTCGACAGGTGTCAATGCCTTCCAGTATCTTTTACCTGCCATCGCACGGATAACTCTCTTTTGAGCAATGAAAACCTTTTCCAACATAGGCGACCCACCCCAAATTACAATTGAGTATAGTAAGTGACTTTGAACATGGGCGAAATATACATCTCTTAGCAATTTAGTTTGAATGCGCTGCCTTAATTTAACAAAAAGGTACGTGGTACTTCTCAGTTTCGCTACAACCTGATCGCATTGGGTGCTCCAGTTCATTGTGTCAGAGAGCATTACACCAAGTATTTTCTTGATTTACCACTTCAATTTCAGCGTCGTTAATTCTGGTTTGAGTACAGTCCTTATTTGGCCGATTTAAGTGCTTTTAGTAATAGTCGTAGAATTTGCAAGATATTATTATTGACCTTAGAGGGCCAGCCATTTAATCCTGAATAGTCCCAGGTTAGTTTGGCTGGCGGTCAAAAAGTTTTCATTTTGCTATTTTCTGTTGAAAAGTAGGATTAAATATTCTGGTTTCCTAACAGTCCTTATTAAGCCGATTTAAGCGCTTTTTGTAATAGTCGTAAATTTTGCAAGAAATTATTATTGACCTTAGAGGGCCAGCCATTTAATCCTGAATAATCCCAGGTTAGTTTGGCTGGAGGTCTATAAGTTTTCATTTCACTATTTTCTTTTGAAAAATAGGATTTAATATTCTGGTTTGAGTACAGTCCTTATTTGGCCGATTTAAGTGCTTTTAGTAATAGTCGTAGAATTTGCAAGATATTTTTATTGACCTTAGAGGGCCAGCCATTTAATCCTGAATAGTCCCAGGTTAGTTTGGCTGGCGGTCAAAAAGTTTTAATTTTGCTATTTTCTTTTGAAAAATAGGATTAAATATTCTGGTTTGAGTACAGTCCTTATTTGGCCGATTTAAGTGCTTTTAGTAATAGTCGTAGAATTTGCAAGATATTATTATTGACCTTAGAGGGCCAGCCATTTAATCCTGAATAGTCCCAGGTTAGTTTGGCTGGCGGTCAAAAAGTTTTCATTTTGCTATTTTCTGTTGAAAAGTAGGATTAAATATTCTGGTTTCCTAACAGTCCTTATTAAGCCGATTTAAGCGCTTTTTGTAATAGTCGTATATTTTGCAAGAAATTATTATTGACCTTAGAGGGCCAGCCATTTAATCCTGAATAATCCCAGGTTAGTTTGGCTGGAGGTCTATAAGTTTTCATTTCACTATTTTCTTTTGAAAAATAGGATTTAATATTCTGGTTTGAGTACAGTCTTATTTGGCCGATTTAAGTGCTTTTAGTAATAGTCGTAGAATTTGCAAGATATTTTTATTGACCTTAGAGGGCCAGCCATTTAATCCTGAATAGTCCCAGGTTAGTTTGGCTGGCGGTCAAAAAGTTTTAATTTTGCTATTTTCTTTTGAAAAATAGGATTAAATATTCTGGTTTGAGTACAGTCCTTATTTGGCCGATTTAAGTGCTTTTAGTAATAGTCGTAGAATTTGCAAGATATTATTATTGACCTTAGAGGGCCAGCCATTTAATCCTGAATAGTCCCAGGTTAGTTTGGCTGGCGGTCAAAATGTTTAAATTTTGCTATTTTCTTTTGAAAAATAGGATTAAATATTTCGGTTTGAGTACAGTCCTTATTTGGCCGATTTAAGTGCTTTTAGTAATATTCGTATATTTTGCAAGATATTATTATTGACCTTAGAGGGCCAGCCATTTAATCCTGAATAATCCCAGGTTAGTTTGGCTGGCGGTCAAAAAGTTTTAATTTTGCTATTTTCTTTTGAAAAATAGGATTAAATATTCTGGTTTGAGTACAGTCCTTATTTGGCCGATTTAAGTGCTTTTAGTAATAGTCGTAGAATTTGCAAGATATTATTATTGACCTTAGAGGGCCAGCCATTTAATCCTGAATAGTCCCAGGTTAGTTTGGCTGGCGGTCAAAAAGTTTTCATTTTGCTATTTTCTGTTGAAAAGTAGGATTAAATATTCTGGTTTCCTAACAGTCCTTATTAAGCCGATTTAAGCGCTTTTTGTAATAGTCGTAGAATTTGCAAGATATTATTATTGACCTTAGAGGGCCAGCCATTTAATCCTGAATAATCCCAGGTTAGTTTGGCTGGCGGTCTATAAGTTTTCATTTCACTATTTTCTTTTGAAAAATAGGATTAAATATTCTGGTTTGAGTAAAGTCCTTATTTGGCTGATTTAAGTGCTTTTAGTAATAGTAGTAGAATTTGCAAGATATTATTATTGACCTTAGAGGGCCAGCCATTTAATCCTGAATAGTCCCAGGTTAGTTTGGCTGGCGGTCAAAAAGTTTTCATTTTGCTATTTTCTGTTGAAAAGTAGGATTAAATATTCTGGTTTCCTAACAGTCCTTATTAAGCCGATTTAAGCGCTTTTTGTAATAGTCGTAGAATTTGCAAGATATTATTATTGACCTTAGAGGGCCAGCCATTTAATCCTGAATAATCCCAGGTTAGTTTGGCTGGCGGTCTATAAGTTTTCATTTCACTATTTTCTTTTGAAAAATAGGATTTAATATTTTGGTTTGAGTAAAGTCCTTATTTGGCTGATTTAAGTGCTTTTAGTAATAGTCTTAATCTTACTCCCAGGGTGGAAAACGAAATAACTCATTAAGCCTCTCTCTTGTTTCAGCTGCGCCGCCGAGCCACTCTCAAAGCAAAAAGAAGTCACCTGCTCGCCGGTGGGAGACGGATGTGGAGAAATTTGACGCTCGACAGGTGATGGTGGCGAGGCCCGCAGCTGACCCCGGGCCTGGTGGTGCCCCGTTAAAAGCTGCCAAAACTACAGCAGGATCAGGTGGACCAGCCAGGCGCACACCGGAGACCTGTATTAAAGCTGGGGTGCCCTCCCGTGCGTCTGGCCCCACCTCATCATCAGCTAATAAAGGTGACAAACACAATTTAAAATATCAGACAACCTACCCTGAGAAGGCCCAACTTTCTGATCCGAAGGCCAAAAAGTCCACCGGCACAGTACCGAAGGTGAGAGGGTTACAGACGAAGCCAGCAAGGAGCCGACCGAGCCAGGGAAAAACGCAGGAGCGCACCAAGAGGCCTGACAGCGCCCTTAAGTCTGTCAATGCTACAGCCGCCTCACCAAAGGGTGGAGCAGCAGGACGAGGCGCGGACGCCTGCGAGTTGGCTGGGGCAATTAATCCGTCCTCGTCCAGCTCCACCCCGGCGCTATCAACAACAGGTGAGGCTGTTATTCTGAAACCTCCTAAGGCCTTGGCCAAAGGAGAACTTGCTGCTGGCCCTGAGGAGAAATTCGTTTCCAGTCTCCTGGAACCTGTACCTGTGGCTGTGGCGAAGGACGTTCCCAGGGCTCAAAATCTGACTGAATTCTTTGCTGACCTGACTCGAGGGGCTAATCTTGAGAATCTTCAGGAAGGCTCTGCCGGTGGGGGTAGCCTGCCCCCGCTGCCCCCACCTGGTTTACTCCAAAAACCCCCCCGGCAACCTTCCACTCTTGTGGTAAGTGGTGCCGACGTTTCACTGGTACCTGAAGTCTCAAAAAACCCTTTGCCCGAGTCTGTTAAGCTGCCACCCTCCGAGGCTCCTGACGAGGCTTTGCCGCACATCACGGCCGACCTGGCAGGAGAAAGGCGGAGTGTCGTCGCGCTGGCCGAGCAGTTCCCGGTCGGGCGGGCCGAGGAGCTCTTGGTTGGGCTACGTGGGACCGTTTCCGAGACCAACAGGTGGCCACTGCCGAGAAAGGAGGCTTCTAGCCACCTGAGTACGCAGCCCACCCCATCTCCCAAGATTGCAGCACCATCGCCATCCAAATCCTCGTCGATAAATTATAGGCGAAATTCAAAAAACACAAACCGCAAGTCCATACACAAAGTCGCTTAAAAAACTTAAATATATTAAATTTAAATGTCCGCGGGTTGAAAACACCAGATAAATTTACCGAGTTTGAAAATTTTATTCGAAGCCTGCAAGTACGCCCAGATTTAATAGTCATAACTGAACATTGGCTTGACTCGTGTGAAATTAAAACCTTCCATTTGGAGGGTTACGATCTAATAGCTTCCTTTGGTCGAAACATAAAAAAGTTTGAAAGAGGTGGAGTACTTATCTTAAAAAATAAACTTCTGAAAGCTACAGCAAAAAATATAAAAATTTTTTCTAAAGAGATGTTTTTTGAATTCTGTGCAAGTAAATTAATAATGCAGTCCGAAAATATTAATATTATTGGTGTCTATCGGCCGAGTAATTCAAAGTCAAATAGTAAAATTCCAGAATTTCTTGAACACATTGATTCAGTTCTTATGCAAAACAGGTTTTGTGGTCATACAATATTAGCAGGAGACTTTAATATCGATCTGATGGTTAATGACGAAAATTGTATAAAACTTAAAGAAATCGTAAAATTACATAACCTAACCTTGCTAAATGAAAATAAAATAACTAGAGTAAATAAAAATGGGGGAACCTTACTAGATCATGTTTATGCAAATTTTAACTTGGAGAGCACATTTAACATAATTCCAGTTTTGTTCTCAGACCACAGTGCTGTGTCAGTATCAGTTAAACTGCCAGTAGAGAAAATTAAAGACACTTTCAAATATATAAGAAGTTACACTGAAGAGAATTATCTGAATCTTTTCTCCCTCCTCGAGCAGGAAAGTTGGGAGCAAGTTTTCCAGGCTAGCTCTGTGAATGAAAAAAGTGAAATCTTTATGGGCATTCTTGTTAAATATTTTGAAAAATCTTTCCCATTAAGACGTGTTGTTATCAGGGCTAACCAAATCGGTAAAATCAAATTGACAGATGAGACAAGGCAGTTACAAACCAAAATGATTAATTTAAGTCAAGAAATAAAATCAAATTTAGATCACAAGGTCAAGGCTGAACTGAAGCTAAAACTGAAACACATGAAGAAGGAAGTTGTTAATAAAATACAAATAGAAACAAAGCAAGTAAGTAAATGATAGGAAAATTGCAACATCTAAAAACAAATCCAGTGCAGCGTGGAAACTTATAAACACTAAATTAGGGAAAAGTAAAAATTCAGAGTATATTGACGAATTAAATATAAACGGTGCTAAAGAATCAATTAAACTTAATATCGCCAATTGCCTGAACAATGTATTTGTTGAACCAGAGCCTGACCTAAATAATATAAATTTAGCTGATTGTTCCAAAGTGACTGATAACCTTGGTAATATGGTACAAGAATTACAGCTTTTTGAGGAGTTTGAAATATATAGTATAATAAATCATCTCCCATCTAAAAATTCATCTGGGTGGGATGGAATTTCAACCACTGTACTGAAAAAAATTTCAATGTATATTACTGCGCCTCTTACTTATTTAATAAACGAGTCATTCCTAAAAGGTAGTTTCCCCGAAAATATGAAACTTGCTAAAATTATCCCACTGTTTAAAAAGGGCGAAAAAGAAAACCCTTCAAATTATAGACCAATTGCGATAACGTCATCAATATCGAAAGTATATGAGAAAGCCTTTTTACATAGATTGGAAAACCACTTGAACACTAATAATATCCAAATACCTGAGCAACATGGATTTAGAAAGGGAAAAAATACTGTAACGGCCTTATATAGCTATGTAACATCTTTGTACGAATCAGTTGAAGCAAAAGAAAAAGTGAATGTTATCTTGTATGATTTCTCTAACGCGTTTGGCACCCTTCATCCACCTCTCCTTATACATAAGTTAAAACAATACGGTCTAAACGAGAACTTGCTCTCGTGGTTGGCCTGCTTCTTATCAAATAGGAAACAATTTGTACAGCTCAAGAACCTTGGTTGTGATAGGTACGAGGAGTTTATTAACTCGGATATATTAGAGAGTAACAGGGGTGTGCCGCAAGGCACAGTTCTCGGCCCAATTGGGTTTTCTATGTATTTAAATGATATTCCTCTCGCTGTGTTCTTGGCCCTCCTGATTTTGTTTGCCGACGACTCCACGGCTATAGTCAAGGGAGAGTCTTTCCCTGAGGTAAATACTAAAACGGTGGCTGTAAATGACAGTTTTGTCGGTTTTGCTAATGATAATTTTTTGAGGATAAATTCAGAAAAATCTAAAATACTACAAATACATACCAGCCAAACAAAAAATCTTGTTCAACCTGATGTTAAAATTGAAGATAAGAGTATAAAAATCTGTAAAACTGGTAAACTCTTGGGAGTACAAATTAATGATACACTTAACTGGAATGATCACTGTGATAAGGTTGTCAATAAAATGAGAGGAGTCTCTCATGTGTTCACTAGACTAAAATACAAGGTGTCAGATAACATTCTTAAATTGATCTATTTTTCACACGTTCAGAGTCATATAATGTATGGGATTGTAATTTGGGGGGGTTCTAGTCATTTAATCAAAGTATTTAGAGCACAGAAAAGAGCGTTGAGAGCCATGGCGGGCATTCCCTACTGGCGATCTAATGAAGCGTTGGATACTTGTAAACCATTATTAGTCAAATATAATATAATGACCGTGCCATCGTTGTATATACTTGAATGTATAAAATTCTTGGTGCAAAACCGAAACCTATTTCAGAAATATAGTGATACTGTAGATACAAGGAGAGTGACTAGACATAATCAGACTAATCTTTGCTGTAATGATTTGGTTGTGAAAGAAGTAAAGCTTAAGAAATCTGTAGAAAACCCAGAAATCATGATCCCCAGAATATTTAATGCATTAACGATATCTTTAAAAGTCCTCGAAAATGACGAGGTTCTTGTAAAAATGGTGAAAGCTTTTGTGTTAGAGCACAAATTCTATGACTTGAACGAATTTTATCGTTTAAATAATGCCATGTACACAGACTTATTTTAAAAAGCAGTTATTTACTATGTATGTTATGTGGTATATAATGCTTAACAAAATAAAGAAATCTTGAATCTTGAATCTTGAAAGTCGTAGAATTTGCAAGATATTATTATTGACCTTAGAGGGCCAGCCATTTAATCCTGAATAGTCCCAGGTTAGTTTGGCTGGCGGTCAAAAAGTTTTAATTTTGCTATTTTCTTTTGAAAAATAGGATTAAATATTTCGGTTTGAGTACAGTCCTTATTTGGCCGATTTAAGTGCTTTTAGTAATAGTCGTAGAATTTGCAAGATATTATTATTGACCTTAGAGGGCCAGCCATTTAATCCTGAATAGTCCCAGGATATTTTGGCTGGCGGTCAAAAAGTTTTCATTTTGCTATTTTCTGTTGAAAAGTAGGATTAAATATTCTGGTTTCCTAACAGTCCTTATTAAGCCGATTTAAGCGCTTTTTGTAATAGTCGTATATTTTGCAAGAAATTATTATTGACCTTAGAGGGCCAGCCATTTAATCCTGAATAATCCCAGGTTAGTTTGGCTGGAGGTCTATAAGTTTTCATTTCACTATTTTCTTTTGAAAAATATAGGATTTAATATTCTGGTTTGAGTACAGTCCTTATTTGGCCGATTTAAGTGCTTTTAGTAATATTAGATTAGATTAGATCAAAATTTATTGCATTAGACATATATAGTACATCTCCAATTTGCCTTTACAACAGGTCATTATAATAATAATAATTAGGTTTTATCAATCTATTAAATACAACATCAAGTGAATGAGGGAGCTCGCACGCCATTAGTTATTCGGCGGGGGTGGGCAAGCCTTTGACTAACCCTCCTCAAATACTGCAGGGGAAAACCACCCCCGAAAACCCTGCAGCTGAGTCTCAATCTTCCAAGTTTAAGCATTCAAATTTACATCTCCAATATTCATTCATATCATAGAATTGACACTTCAGCATTACATATTTGACACTTTTAACAAAGTTGCCATAGTCAGCTATTTCTTTCAATACATTGGGTAATTTGTTATATACTCGTGCTATCATTATCTCAGGACTTTCATTCACACAATTTAGTGAGCTTGGCCTTACAAATAAATCTGTTTCAACATATGCAGTAGCACGCGTAGTTCGCACTACAACACCTGGAACATCACGATTCATTTTAAACTTTTCAGGAAATTTGCGCACAAACTTAACACACTCCAAAATATATAATGAATAGACTGTAAGAACTCCAAATTTCACAAATAGTGGTCTACATGAGTCAAGTGCCGAATTACTTCTCCAATATTGAACGCCAGCCATCGCTCTTATTACTCTTTTCTGCGCAAGAAAAACATCTTTCATATGTGTAGATCCACCCCAGATTACAATCGAGTATAGAATTCGGCTAGCCGCATATGCATGATAGGCTTGGACCAAAGTCGATTCTAGAACTTTTTCTCGTAACATGATAAATAAATACGTAACACTACGCAACTTAGTAACCACTTCGCTGCACTGTTTATTCCAATTCATTGTATCTGTTAACGTTACTCCTAGAAGGCGACTACTGTTCACCACAGACAATTCCTCATTCTCAATCAATATTTCAGGCTGGATTATATTCCTCGTTTGAGCGGTGTGCATTGTCATTACCATAGTCTTATTCGGATTCAATTTCAGGTGATTATCACTCGCATATTTCACCATGTCAGAGTTTGCTTGTATTGTCTTTTCATTCACCTCAGAGGCAGTTTTACCTTTCACTATCATTGTAGAGTCATCGGCAAAAATAACTAATATTGCAATTATAACAATTAAGGGCAGGTCAATCGAATATGCGCTGTAAGTAAAGGGACCGAGAGATGTACCTTGCGGCACACCTCTGTTACTCTCACGCAAATTTGATTTAATTATTTCTTCTACACCCTTATCATTCAGAACTCTCAGTTTAACTAGCTGCTTTCGCTCTAGTAAAAACGATTTGACCCAGTCTAACGCTTTACCATTGACACCAAACATTTTTAGTTCAACAATCTATCAGGTACTAATGATCCAAACGCGTTTGTAAAATCATACAAAATAA